GGAGATAGAAAGAGAAAGATAGAGAGAGGGAGAGAGATATTTGAGTATATAAAGAGCATATGACATTATATGAGTAATGATGGATATATTCTATGCTATACATCTATATGCTGCTCTGATCAATCCTTAATATATAATATTTATAAGTCAAATTATGATTTAAGAATAGATCATCAAAGCATATGGAAATAAAACATATTAATATATTGTATATATATATTGTTTTATGATCTATTCTCATTAAAATATCACATATAACATGTTTATGATATACTAATCTGGCAGGGGATGAACACATCAATGTTATCTGCTCTCTCTCTCTCTCTCTCTTCAAAAATTTGTTATCTTATCCAGATATAACTCAATATTCTTAGTTATCTTGTCTCGATTTTGTTAAGGTATCTCAGCAGTGACTTCAACGAAAAAAAAAAAAAAAAAAAAACTTTCGCCTCCTTCCCAAAGGGCGTCAGCTTTCAACCACAAGCTGCGCACTTAAGTATGCTTGGCACACGCTCACACACAAACACAACTGATAGCACGTCTCTCTCTCTCTCTCTCTGTGTGTGTGTGCTCATTTGTGCGTATGTGTAGCGCAGCGCTCCACATTTAAATCCTTATGTATTGTGATGTGTGACAAAAACGGAAAGAAAAGAAAATTTAATTTGACAAATTTTATGCAGGCATTTCTCACAGCGCACTATGGGTCAAAAGCCTGATTTTTTGGAAAAAAGTCTTATTTTCAAGTTGAAAAAATGAACAATATTTTAATGCCAATCCATTAGGAATACCCTCTATGTAAATGTTACATACTCAGAATTTTAACAGAGGCGCGATCTGCTAACAAAACTGCTGTTAAACAGAGCTGTTATAAATGACACGCACATTATCAAGTTTGTAATAAACTTTATATGAATTTCAATGGCTAATTGAAATAAAAATAATGGCAATTAGATTCAAATTTTTAGTGGAAAGTATGGAATAGGGCTTGTTCTTTGTTTTTACGTGTTTATATTGTCCAAAATCTTTATGTGATGTGAAGTTTTGTGTAAGTCAAAAAGGTGTCTTTGACATCATTAAAAAAAAAAATGTTTGTCTTTGATAAGAGATAACTTGTGTTTGTAGCATTTTGTAGCAATGAAACTACGCCCATTTTATAGAGTATTCAATTCCGAACTAAGACCTATAAGTTCAACGTGCACTTTTGCGCACTTTTTGCGCAATTTCATTTTTCAGCAACTAACCTCGTTTCAGATGAGGAAGACTAAATAAGCATGTCCGAAAGGCAGGACTTTTCAAATTTTTTAGGTTTATGGCATGCTAGCTTCAGATAATGAAGAATACGATGATTAACAATAAAAGAGATATATTTTAATGTTATTTGTGCTTCAAATCATAAAATATAACCTTTTATTCCATGAAAAAATTTTTCCCCAACTTCTACATATAAAAACTATATGATATAGTTAACCGATTTTGATAATTTTTTTACAGGGTCTTTAAAACATGACAAGACACCTAATATATGAATTTGGTGTAAATAACTTAAGAAGTAAAAAAGTTATGACAGCAAATAATATGAAAGAGGGGCGGTGCCACACCCATTTTTTCATCACAAACGCGTGTTGTGAACGAAAGTCAACTGCAAAAAGACAAATTTAATTATCTTGACTGGTTCAAAAGTTATTAATTAATTCCAAAAAAACGGGCTTTTGACCCATAGTGCAGCGGAGCTTGAGCAACCTGTCATTACGTATACGACGCATTGTTCCACGCAATTGGCTCGACTGCTTATTGATTTTGATAAACAATATTTGATTCTCGGAGCAAGCCTTTCGTGCGTGGCACCGAATTGCCAGAGAGCCGCACTGTCGTACGAAAATCAATTTCGAGCTGTGCCGCGTGCCTCGATAAGTGCGCTTCAACCCAGGAACTTGCTGACTGCCACAAGCATTACGCAACATGCAACGTGAGCGTCAAATGCCAAACGCCCACTTTTGCAGAATTTAAACATCAAATGTGACCCGCTAGCCCGCAACAGCAGGCGACCCAGCAAGCCTCAACTTTTGCCTTGTTCTCGTTTCCTTTCAGCTGCTGTGCCAAGGAGTAGGCTATCAGTGCCCAAATGGTAAGGAGAGGGGTGGGGTGGTGACAGCAGAAGGCGTAGCAGCGGCAAACTTTTAGCTTTAATTACTTTGCGCTCGGCTGTGCATTTAAAGAGGCGCCCAAGTGACTCATTTCATTTGGGCACGTAATGTCAATGAACTGAGGGCGCTGATAATAAAAGCAGGATGCCCCAACAGCCAAATGAAAATGAAAATGAAAACGAAAACGAGAATGGAAACCAATTAAATATTGCTTTAAAGAGCTGCAAAGCTCAGCAGATATTATTTTTATATACCCTGTAGGCCATAATAAAGATGACGCGAAAAGAATGCATTGTAATGGCTAAAAGATTGAAAGGTGTTAAGTGCCAGAAAGGTATTTATATGGCAAGTAAAGCTGTGAAGTTGAGGGAAAAGAGTTTTCTTTTGCTGTTAACGAGTTTACTCAGAAAATTCATTCATTTTAATACGTCAGTTTCATAGCATAAAGAGCTTTTGGAATATTGAAAAATTATTTAGCATATGAGCAGTAAAGCATTAAAGCAATGCTATAGTAATATTTTTTTTAGAGAAATTCTAATGGTCAAAATCGATAATAATCACTTGGTAATATCTGGTAGATTATCACAAGCTCTTGAAATTATCAAACTATTTAGAAAATAGCTAACGAAGCTATCGAATTTAGGATCTCTATCTCTCTTTCTCCCTCTACCTCTCTTTCTCTCTCTCTCTCCAACTGGTATCTAATAGTCGTTCATGCTCTGCTCGTGTCACATTACATTTCTGTCAGTGTGACTTCGTGCGCAGCTCCCTAAGGATAACTAAACAATTATTGTAATGTGCCTGCTCGGCTTAAACCTGCTTTTTGCTTGGGCTTTAATAATTTATTATTGTGGCATATTAGGTCGATGTCGAGTCTATGTCGAGCCGATGACGATGTCGATGTCGATGGTCGTTGGTCGATGGCTTGATACTTTTGGCGGTAAGCCCAATATAGACGCACGCCAAACAATATATCATACAGTAAACCTATTACAATGTGCTTGGCATTTATTATGGCTTTGGCGGCTGGTATCGTAAGTTGGCCACCTAACCACGCCCCTAGCTGTGGGCGGTAGGCTGTGTGTTGTGTATTGTAGGCGCGTGCCGAGCACATTTTTTCTCCACTTTACTCTCTATAAATTCGTTATGCGCCCGGAGGGTGGCGGCAAGTGTGTCTGTGTGTGTGTGTGTGTGTGTGTGTGTGTGTGTGTGTGTGTGTGTGTGTATCTATTGCTATGTATCTGTATCTGTAGCTGTGCACTGCTGTGACTAGGCAGCTGTTAATGTGTCGCCAAAAGGCGCAGATTTGTGCTTTGCTTTCTGCTGACAGCTGCCGTGCTCTCCCCACAGGACCTCATCATCGATACGGCCCTTTCTTTGTCTGGGCCATATTTGCCCATCGATCAACTTACAGCACTTTCGCTTTTTGTTGCCTTGTTGCAATTAGCGCCGTGAAAGCATTGCAAATAGCGCGCTTGGTTCAATAAACTGCACTCGGACTTTGACCATATTTGCTGTCAGTTGCCTCAGCTGCACCACCGCACCACCAGCCACTCACTTTCTCCTATTATTTTTATTTTATTTTATTTATTTTTTTTTTTTTTTGCCATTTCATCTACATCATTTGGTCTCATTATTGAAAACGTGCCCCTTCCTCACTTGAAGATTGATATGTGCTTGATTTCCTGTGGTATTTGACACTGCTTTGTGTATGGTTTTTCTTCTTCGTTTTTTTTTTTTTTTTTTTTTTTTTTTTTTTTTTTTTTTTGTAACCAGAATACAGCATAATGATATTCCCCAAGAACTCCCCATTTTGTCGTCTTCTATTACTGTAACGAATTCCGGCTGGGCTATCATTAAAATATGATTTATAGCGAGTAGCTGCCGAGTAGCTGCCGACCTCCTTTTCGTGCTCGACTTCTTGATGGACTCAAGTGCCGTTGGCTGCTGTGAGCTGCCCTTATCCCTTTGTGCTCCCATGGGTATGGGAGAACACTGGGGCGAAGCGTGGGAGTGAGGCTGTACCATTGTCCTGTCTCGTGACTTTAAATATTTGTGCTGTGTCTGTGGCTTAGACAACAAATTGTGCTTACCATTCGGGCTTGATTTTTCGACTGGTTTCCTTAATCGCAGTGTTCTTCGCTCTGAATATGAATGAGGCATTTGGCTGGTATTTTAATGGGCTTAGAAAGTGGTTTACGATTTCCAAGCGTAATTAAGTAATTAAGCGTTTAATTTAAGCTAAATTTGCATAGATTGTACTCGCATTTAAGTTAGTTGTAATTTATAGTAAGAAATAACTACAAATCGTTCCATTTACAATTACATAAATAAGAAAGAGGTAATTTATAGTGAGAAATAGCTACAAATCGTTCCATTTACAATTACATAAATAAGAAAGAGGTAATTTATAGTAAGAAATAACCACAAATCGTTCCATTTACAATTACATAAATAAGAAAGAGGGCACAAAATGTAAAGCACAAAAATTGTATACATGTAACTGTAGTTCAAATAATCGATTTGAAACGATAAGTATCGATACATTTATATTTATTAAGAAATTATAATACTATCGACTATTATCAGCTGTTATCGATATCATAAATACGTAACATAATCGATAACATTACAAAATAATTTATCTACAGTGACGTACCGCATTCAGCTCTATTGCCCTTCCTCGGCTGCTCTACCCTTCACTTTAGGTTATACATTTATCGATACATTTTAGAGATGCGCACTTTAAACTTATCGATAAATTAATATTCTCAATTAGTGGCACTCCACTGAACAGACTATTACTAATGTATCTTCTTTTCGTTTGCTTTCCTTCTCCCTCCCCTCAATACGCAGTCAAATAATAATGAAGACGCAGCCGTGCCCATGATCATCGACGACAACTCTCTGGACCAGGTGGTGGCACCCACTCTCGTATCGGCCAACGCCTTCAAGTACTCGATGCCGCTGCACTGCCACACGGCAACTGCCTCGGTGCTGCGCAACTATCGCCACAATCCGCTGATCAGCGGCACCAATTTGCAGCTGTCGCCGGTCTTTAGCAGCAGCGAGGCAGCCAGCCCTTTGGCTGGCGATGGCGATGCCAGCTCTGTGGCCTCCTTAGATGATTCCATGCCGCCGGGCTTGACCGCCTGCGACACGGATGCCTCCAGTGACAGCAGCTTCGATGAGAACAGCCTGGCCGACTCGAGCTCGCCCCAAATGCAGCTGCGCGCCGAGCAAATGGATGTGGCATCGGTGCCCGAGGCTCCGCCTCCACAGCTGTGCGACGCAGAGGAGGAGGACAGCCAGCCGTTGAGGAGCAATGCGACCAGCCGCAAGTCATCAATATCGTTCATAGACAGCAGCAATCCGCTGCTGCGCACACCCTACCTGATGGACCTGTGCAACGACGACTACAACATGACCGAGGAGAGCAGCTTCGAGCTTGACGGTGTGCTGGATTATCTCCAGATACCCTAAGCGCCTGTGCAGCTATCACGGTAGACAGGCAGGCAGGCATTGCATTTGTTTTTTACGTAGGCTTTTCTTTTTTTTCTTTTTGGGTTTCGTTTAGTTTGGCATTTAAAGAAGTGAAATCAAAACATAAATAAAAGATTGAATTTTGAGCCTTACGTAAAATTAGAAATTAAAAAAATAAAAATAACAAAAAGCCAACGACCACGCCCACACTCACGCACTCACACACGCATACACTGACAACAATGGAAAAGAAAAAGAAAAAAAAAACAGGAAGGGTTCAACATATTTTGAATAGTTTTGTAGCAACTTTAACTGCCAAGAACAGATGAATAAATATATGATTCTACATGTAACAAAAAAGTTGAGAAGAAAAAGAAAAGACCCAAAAGAAAAATCAGAAAAAAATATATTGATTACAATTTTATTACACTAAGAAAAATACAAAAAAAAACTTGAATTTCATAGATTTTGCTCAAGAAAAATGAAAAATTTTGGTGACGGTTGTAATCCGAGCAGATTTTTAACGCAAAAGCTGTGAAAAAAACAAAAAAATACAAAAAAAAAAAAAATAACTTTTTTGAAAATCTTTTAAACAAAACATACAAGAAAATAAATAAAAATCATCTTCAAATAACGTTTAGTCTTAAGTCCAAATATTGAGTTCAAATGTTAACAAATATGTGTTTAAATAATTAAGTCGTACAGATTTCAACAGTTCAATTAATTTTTATTTTCAATCTTTAACTTTTTTGCATTTCTTAAAAACAAAAAGCTAAATAATTCTAAACTTTTCCAACAATTTAATGATTTGATGTCAATTTATATAATTTTCAATTTGTGTTTTGTTCGTCTTTCGATCTAAATGTGCTTTAGCTTTTAGTTCTAAAGGACGATTATTGTTCACAAAGCAACGTCTATATACTAGTAAGAAATTCTGCATCAATACTATATGTTATTCAAACTCGATTTTGTTTTATGTTCTTTCACAATCAATGTTTTGCTAATATGATAATGATTAAATAAACTAAGAATTCGTTTCAAGATGCCGTACAAAACGTTTTTACTTTTAATTGGGAAATAATTTTGAGATTTTTTTCAGAGCTAGAAAGAATTGTTTTAAATTGGAAAATACTTGGGAAACTTAACTTTCATTGTGTCTAAAACTTCATCCAAATTCCATCTGAGTTCACCTCACTTGAATCGCACATTATTCTGCAGCAGCTCGAGCAGCTGCTCCTCGGGCGCCTTCCACTTGCACTGCGGATATTTGTATGTGCAGTAGTGCGGATTGGCTATGCTCCATCTGAGCTCACCTCACTTGAATCGCACATTATTCAGCAGCAGCTCGAGCAGCTGCTCCTCGGGCGCCTTCCACTTGCACTGCGGATATTTGTATGTGCAGTAGTGCGGATTGGCTATGCGGCCCGCTTCGATGGCCTGACGCAGTGCCGATTGCTCCAGCCAGGAGAGCAGCCAGGACCAGTTGACGGCACCATCAACCATCAGCTCCAAGTCGGAGGCCTGGCCACTGCGCACACTCTCGCCCGCTCTGTGGGTCAGCGTGCAAATGGATTTGAGCAGGCACACGGGCAGATTGATGTCGTTCTCCAGAAAGGTGCGTTCGATGGTGCTCAGCAGGCTGGGCAACCCAGTCTCTGTGCGTGAATGTGGTATGAGTATAGTATTTAGGTTTACTTATAGTTATTCGACTTACCCACTTTTTCGCCGCTGGCATTGCGATAAATCAGCTTAAAGTTATCGAAGAGCTGCAGGAAACTTTGCTCCTCATCGAGCAGGCGGCGCTCTGCGTGCTCACCGGAAGCCTCGCTCTTGCCAGCCGGCACTATTGTCTCCAGGCCCATGCTGCGTATGAGATGACCCACTGCGAAGCCGCCAGCGGCCACCAGGCCACAGCTCAGGATGGCAGCAGAGTTGACGATAACCAGTGGCTGCAATGGGTAAACAAACGAGGGAAAATACACTCAGAGAAATGATTTTAAGACTACCTCAAATATATGTACATATATAAACTCAAATATTTCCACAGTCCAAACAAAAGCAAGAAAACGTTTAGGCATTTGAGCTAGATTTTAGTTGAGGTAAAAAATACCTATAATTTTCTTTGAGTGTATCATAAAATGGATTCTTCAAACTACTTACTCGAGGCGGTGCATTGGGTTTGCGTTTGATCGGCACCTCCACAAATGGCATCAGATAGTTCAGACCCAGCGCCAGGTCTTTGTCAACGCTATCGAAGGATATGAGACGGAATCCTTGATTGTTTTTCTGCTGCTTGTGGCTGCTTGAAGCTGTGGCGCCTCTACCATCATGCTGCGTCTCTTCGGACTCGCCTGCCACGCAACTGGACAGGATGAGGCACGATATAATCAAATATAGGAACTGCATGCTTCCGGCTGGCCGCGTCTGCTCCGTTGTGTAGCTGTCGCAGATTTGAAATCCATTTCGACTGACGGCGTCTTGGTTAGTTACGGCACGTCCGTAATTTTTGCTAGTCGCCGCTTCGCTGCCTCTTGGCTGTGATAATTTGAGTCGCATTTGAGCTCCACTTGCTGCTGCCACTCTGTGGCTGTTGCGCAGCCGTGACATAAGCTCCAACTAAGCTGAGGTGCGACAACGTTTTGTTTCTAGCGCCTCAATTGAGGAAGCAGCAGTTACTAAGGTAAACACTAAACGCCGATTGGCGCAAGTTCCCATCATTATAAATTGACAGAGACGGAAACACTCTCTCACTCTTAAATCAAATCAAAGTATGGCACAAAAGATTGATTTAAATGTGTTTTTTACGTTGGCTTATAACCTTATTGTATAGAAAATGTGGAATGGATATACAGCAGAGAATAGCAGGCGAGATTGAGAAAAATCTGGAAGGCAATGTGTGTCATATATGACTAATTTAATTTTCATCTCAACACTGGCATAGAGACCCAAGGTGAATTCCCAATATTCTTATGACATATTGAGAATCGAGAATTTAAATTTAATTTTTTGTAATTAAAAAATTTTGTATTTGGAATATTAAAGTCTAAAAAAACATTATTATTCTATATTTTTAATAAACAACAATAGAATTAAGTTCAAAAATCAATATTAAATAATTTGTGTATATAGATAAAAATATCGTTTTTATAACAATTTAATATATTTTTTAAATTTTACAAATAAAAAAAAATAAATACAAATATATATAAGCAAATAAATAATTAACAACTAAAGAACTAAGCAGATCGATATCCCTTCAAGTACTGCAACATAGTTGGCCAAGATCTGTGCAGGAGGCTGCCCGAGAGCTGGGGCCAGCTGCAGCTGCGGTAGGCGTGGCTACAGCTGCGGCTGCTGCGTGCCACATCAATGGCGCTGTAGACGGCTGTGCCATTCAGATAGGTGTCCAGCCAGCGGGAGCTGTGGGCAGCAGGGGATCAGCTAAATGGAAGACTTGCAAGTACAGTAAATACTCACTGGGCGAGAACATCGACGAGCCTGGCGGCTGTTGGCCAGCTTGGACTGGGCTGCTGCAGCTGTGCCGCATTCTGCTGCAAGTAGTGGCAAATGGCGCGTTGTGCACAGACGGAGACATCGATGCTGTGCTCGTCCAACTGTGACTCCAGCACCTGTGCCAGGCTGCGCACTGTAAGGGAGAGGGCGAGTGGAGGGAGAGAGTAAACTCAATAATGGACACTCATTAGCTACAGGGCTACTCACTGCCACGTCTGCTCTCGTGTTGCTTGGCACTGTAGCCGTAGGCATAGCCATTGCTATAACCGTAGCCATTTGCACTGCTGATGGAGGTAAAGACCAGGGGCGCCAGCACCAGACGTACAACTCCGGCTATAATCGCGCCGGCGGCCACTATTAGCGCCGTGTTGAGCAGCGCTGTGGTGCGCAGATTGAGCAGACCCTGGACGGCATCGCGGGCCAGCTGCATGCTGCGCTTCACGGGCACCTTGACCATGGGAATTATGAACTCCATTTCGACGCTGACATCCTCGCCGCTGGCATTGAAATGAAAGCCGCGTGCCTGACGCCTCTCGCCCTCGTCTCTGGCCACACTCTCCTCGCGCGGCTCGAAGTCGTGGAAGCGCAGCTGCCTGACACTCGCATTGTTGTAGTAATGGTCGCCGTAGGCGTTGGGCGTGGCCTCATGGCCCAGCAGCTGAAAGATGACGCCCAACAGGCCCAGACTTAAGGCCCAATGTTGATGCATTCTGAACGGCTATGCGCGTGCTGCTCGCTCCGAGTCTCGAGTGCCACTGAGCGCAGGCCCAGCCGTCACTTAGCTCTTTGTAGCGACTCTCTCGGCAGTCTCTGTGTGGCATGTAATGCCATGTAAGTGTCGCATGAATTTCATGGCTCTTGGCTCTGTCATCAAGATACTATGTGACAAATTCATTAAACTAAAGCGAACAAATTAAGTGGAATACTTCGGAGACGGCAAAGCGAAGCGATTCGAGTGGGGTAAAGTTGGGTAGAGGCTGAGATTATGTGGGATCAGCTGGCTGAGATAACATGCAAATTCGTTGTCAAAGCCCTGGCGAGTGCGAATGCGTTTGATCTGCTCATGGCATAAGGTTAGACAAACATGGAACTGCCAGTCAAAACGGTAGCAGCAATTGGTGGCATCAACAGAGCGTAACGAACGGTAGCACTGGTACTGGTATGTTGTACTCGAATATTTGTGTGTGAGTGTGTGGGTGCTTGCAATTTGTGTGTGCACTGTTTACTATTATATAATGCGCGCCTCAAAGGCTAGATAAACAACACTTTTTCGATTAATCCACATTTTATGCAATGAATGATAGTTGGGTAACATCAAAGTCACAAGAACGGTTTATTTACATACCCCGATTTTGGCTGTGGCCAAGGTCAACATGAATATGACCCCCATTTCAGTTTCAGTTTAAAATGTGCATATGTATGTGACTGCATGTAGGTCTATATGCGGTAGTGCCTGAGGCAGAGACATTCTAAGGTAGAGTCACTACCAGGTATTCTCCGCTCTACTTTAACTCTCAAGAAATATGAGCGATGCTCATTAGTTAAGGGTAGAGTCCTTCTAGGTATCTTTGTAAATGATCAGCTCTTCTGTACGATTCTCATCTACTACTATGGGATTATCATCAATTAAAGATTTCTTTTAGAACCGAGAATTTATAAACTCACTGACTACCTTCCTACTTGTATTCAAACAACATTCGATTTTGAGATTAAAATTTGTGCGGTTTTTATTTTGTATAATGCGAAACTAATTATTATCTGAAGATTTGGCTAAAACTTAAAAAAATGGATCAAATAAAAATTTCGATACGACTACGTACTGAACCTCTCGGTTTTACTAGCTGAAAATCGTACTTTCTTGGAGCTTAGGGAAACTTTCGATGTGACCTTTTGGAACTGTTTGGCAGTCGGCGGATAGGCAGCTCGGTTGAGGCGCTGATGTCGCGCATCGTATAGCTGACTATCTTTGCGATCTTTCTCCAAAGTAGTCGCTGCCTGAGATTCGCTATTGTATCCTCCCTTCTGGCGGGGCTTTGTTGACCCGGGTGCTGGTTTCTTTTCTGTCTTCTTGGGCGGATTGCGCATTCTGGGCGGCTTTGGCTCCTGATGCACGAAGCCCTTGCCAAAGATCCAAGGGAATCTGTCTTTGCGCTCGCCTATAACGCAGCCGCCGTACTGCACGTAGGCGTTGGGCGGATGCGGATACATGGTGGGCAGGGCCCAGTCGTTCTCATTGTACTGCGTCTCTGCGTTGGTCCTGTGACTGACCTTTAGCCGCTCCGGATGCATTAGACCCGCTGGCGGCGTTACGCCAAAATCGAATTCGGCTTCGCTGTCCGTGGTATCTGAGAGCACCAGCTCGTTCTCGCAGTTGTGCAACTCACGCTTCGCGCACTGCCGCTGCAACTCATCCACCAGCTGCTTCTTGTCGATGAAGCTGCGGCAGTAGCACTGCATCACGGGCCTGTGGCACTTGCACTTGCTGAAGCCCATGTTCTTGAGGCATCGCTTCAGTTCCCGCACCTTCTTCAGCAGCGGATTCTTCACGATGCGAAATTGCACAGGCTTCATATTCGCATAGGGATTGGCGGCCCGCTTCAGCGTATCTGGATCCTTGAGCGGTCGCAGTGTGATGAGATACTCGTCATTCTTCTTCTCGATGTGCAGAGTCGGCAATTGCACCAAATCCTCTGGCTTTTCCGCCATCTCGTGGCTTGGCTTTGGCTTCTGTTTGTGATACGACATATATTTCGATATGGGTATACTGTCAACGGGATAATCCTTGAGGAAGTAGCCCATCAGCTCGCGTATGGACCGGCGTATGGCGCCGGGTCGCCAGCCGGGCAGCTTCGCCAACGGATTGTCCGTCCAGAGCCAGCCCATGTGGCCGGGCACCATGCGTCCATCATCGAAACAATTGGTGTGGCCCAGTCGGGGATGGGCCAGCTTATCCATGGGCGCATAGACCTTGGACTTGACATTAAATTTGGGTTGCGCCTTGCGTCTCTTTGTCTTCTTGGGCTCGGCACAAGGATCTGACATTTTATTCGAGTATTTTCGGTGCTTCTTCGATGCTTTGGCCAGCTTGCAGGCCTCATCGCAGATTTGCTTGATCTTCAGCTTCTTATCCGAGTCATCTTCGCCAACTTCGAAAAGTTTCTGCATTTCCGCGAAAATACTAACCAAGTCTGTAGGCAACTTCTTTGATGAAGTCTTGTTGCACGGCTGTATACTTTTGCATTTCTTAATGCTCTGCTTAAGCGATTTGTAATCGCTCACAATCGATTCGAATGCTTCCTCGGTTTTGGATTCAGAGCCAAAATCGCGGCAGGTGTTGGTGTTGGAGATTTTCGATTCGCTGCTTTTCTGCTGAAAGAAGTCAACGATGATGTCCTTGGCCGTGGCCGACTCATCATACTCCTTCTCCGTGAATATGGGCAGCGGCTTGTAGCCACAGTGTGGACATGCCGCTATCTGGGGCAGCCAGGACACATCCGCGTGGCACATGAGGCACGAGCGTTCCGGCTTCACGCCCATCTGCTTCAGCTTTGGCGCCGAGGCTTGCGAGCACATGCGATTCACATTGCCTTCCCCCAAATAGGATCGCGAAGCGAATGAGAATTGATGGCCGGGTCCGGCCGATGCCTCAATCTTCAAGCAGCCATCGTCGGATTTGTCGGCGCTGTAGACATTGTAGGGCCCAGCCACGTCGATCAATTTGCGCGACCGCAACTAGAACCACCCGAAACCGAAGCGATCAGTGTTTGACCTGGAACGAATGTAGCTACTCACCTCGTCACCGCCACAAGTTCTACTATTGTTATTGGATGTTTCACAAAAGTCGTTTGTATCGTCCGACTGATCACCAATGCTAACGAAGCCCTGGCATGGATCGGAAGAGGTTTCTGCAGAGCTATCTGTATCCTCCCCCATTGAAACGCCAGTGCAGTCATCGTCGTCGTCGCCGTCATCGTCGGTTTCGTCATCGCTGCAAAGGTCCATGTCCGTGTCCATTACTCTATTGAATTTCAGGCGTCATCGGCTTTTTTGTTGGCTTCCAGGCTCCAGCCAGCAGCCGTGGAGCTTACTTACTCTTCCATGCTTTGACACTTCATGGTCATCGAGAGGCGTACTGTGCACATGCCCACGGTACAGCCCTTACATGTCAGCTCTACTTCTGTGGTATAGACAACCTCTTCAGTTGTGTTGATCATCCGCAGTATGACACTGTCTGGCGGGGCAAAGCAGCCGCGTCCTGGGCATCGAATAGTGAAAGAGTTTCACAAGTCATAAAACGAAAAAAACTTAGATCCACTGCTTACCGATTTCCTTATTCATGTACTTAACAGACAGATTGATGCCATCCGTTAGCGCCTTATCCAGACACTCTGGCTGCATTGAGAATCGAGCGCTCGGCTCAGACGGCATACAGTTGACACCGATGCGATTCGAGCACAAGACCGGAGTGCAGCCCTTGCAAATGACCACGTTCATTTGCAGTTGGTCTCGCTCCTCAAAGTCGCGGCCGGGCATGTAGAGCTTCATGCAGATCATGTTGGCCACGAAACACCGGAACTTGTCCTTGTCAGGCTTGACCTTCTTCTTGCCCTTGCCACTCGGCCCGCACATGGCGTCGATGTCAACGTTGGCGTCCTTCTCGGCCTCCTTGGCCATTTGCAAGCGAAACGCTGGGCCGCAGCACATATTCTTGTCCGGCTTACCTTTCTTATCCTTGTTATCATTGTTTTGCGGATTCTGTCTGGTTGAACAGCGTATATAGTTCTCCTTATCCCTGCTCAGCTCGTTCGATGCCCAGCAGCATGGTGCCTTCGACATTGTGCTAAGTACGCGTTGTCTACGAATAAGTGAAACTGAATAAAAAATAAATATATATATATATATATATATATTATAATTTTGAAATACGGTAGCTACAGTTAATTTCAATTTCAAATACACGAATTACAATTTCGATGCTATAAATTTTTATTCGCTCGAGCCTGAAAGCCAACGCGTTGAAATTTCAATAGAGTATGACTAAAATTTTGAACTGCTCCGACCAAGTAATTTTTGAATGTCTCATGGCTCACTTTGATCAACTGAAAGTCTTGGCATAGCCCTTAGAGCAATTATATGCTAACATTTATTCTTATGAATTATGAAATATATATATTATCATTAGGTATGAATATATGTATTTGATCTGTAATAAATATGGAATTTACTAGGAATATTTACATTATGCCCCGAGCCATTCCTAACCATTGCACAACTTTTAATAATTTGCGAATTTTTTGCAAACTTTTTTTTTGATGTTCACTCAAATTATCAAATTTCTTCGCAACTACAGATGCGTGTCATAATCAGATATCTCTATGCAAATTATTTTGCTTGTGTAACTCAATTGCTCAATTTGACAAAGTCGTGCACAATTTCGTTTTGCATATTTTTTTATTTATTCATGATTTCGACTTGTAAAATGTTTCCTTAAATTACATAAAATATAATATTCAACTTAAAATCTGCACACTGCTGGCTGCTTCGCTCTGCTGACCCATTGACCACAGTGCTCTTTTCTCCAATCGTGTTTACAACAGATTCGTGAGATTTTTCCTTTACTTAAAATTTCATTTCTTGATTCTAGTTCTAGTTTCTATTAGTTTGCTTTGAGCCAGGTGGGCTTGCCGCTGTATGGATCGAAACCGCCTCGAAAGATTGCAGTATCGGCTCCACCCTTTAGCCGGCCCTTGGACTTATCTGCTGCCTTGGGCTTGTCTGTCTTACGTCTGTTGATCATTTTGGGCGGCTTTGGCTCCTGATGCACGAAGCCCTTACCAAAGATCCAGGGGAATCTGTCCTTGCGTTCGCCTATAACGCAGCCACCGTACTGCACCTGGGCGTTGGGCGGATGCGGATACATGGTGGGCATGGCCCAGTCGTTCTCATTGTACTGCGTCTCACAGTTCACCCGATCGGGTCGATTGCAGCGCTCCGGCTTGACGATGCCCGCCGGCGGCGTCACTCCAAACTCCAATTCGTTGTCGCTGTCGCTCTCGCTGAGGTCCGAGTAGACGAAGGTGTCGCTGACATCCTGCCAGCCTTGCTCTGCGCTCAGAATTTTCACATCTTCGACGAGTAGCTTCTGGTCGATATGACTGCGACAGAAGCAGCGGGACACCGGCTGATGGCAGGTGCACACATCATAGCCCCTGTCGTTGAGGCCGAGCTTGATGTTGCGCTTGCCGGTCGCGATTGGATCCTTGGAAATGCGGAAGACGACTGGCTTCATATTCGCATACGGATTGGCAGCCACAGCCAAAGTCTTCGCATCCTTGAGCGGCCGCAGGGTGATGGTGTACTCGTCGTGCTTCTTGACTATATGCAGCGTCGGATGCTGTATGAGGGGCTCCTCGACAGCGCACTTGTCCGGCTCCTTGCGGGTGCGATAGTGAAAGCGCGAGTTCACAATCTTGTCTGCGGGGTAGTCCTTCAGGAAGTAGGCCATTAGCTCCCGTATTGACTTCTTGATGGCGCCCGGCTTCCAGCTTTTGTGATGGGCTGCCAGCTCGCTCTTGGTCCACATCCAGCCCATGTGGCAGGGCACTCGGCCGCTGCCCTGCGAGCAGGTGTGATGGGTGTTTGGCTGCCGAATCGTATCCTTGCGCACCAGGAACGTATAGCTAAGGGCGAGAGGGGGGCTGCCATTGATCTCTCTACCCCAATGGATGGTCTCGGTGGCAACTTACCGCTTGGACTTGCGACGTTTGCTCTTCCGTGTCACACACTTGGATTTCTTCTTCCGTTTGGTTGGCACACACTCCTCCATTTCCCTAAGCAGCTTCTTAATTGACGCCGACCGTTGGCGACCCTTCTTGCCCTTCCGTGTGATCTCAGCGCACTGCTTTAGCACATTGTCGGCCACCTCCTTGGCTGACGGCTTGCCGCCGACCACCTTCTGCATATCGGAGAAGATCTTGAGCAGATGCTCGCGATGTTGCGACGGTGTCGATGGCGTCTTCTTCGGCGATAGGGGCCGCGCAGGCGACTTGCTTTCCGGCGACTTGGGCTTCGTATCGACCATATTATCGCAGAGCTGCTGGATGCGGCAGCGAGTGCAGACACGTCCCCCCTTGCAGGTGCAGGTCTTGGTGATCTTCGTAGCGCTGCATGACGCTGGATCGACGTTGCTGCACGTGAAGCGACTTCTCTGGCTGGACTCACTGCTCACGCGCGTGTGGAGCATGTGATCGCGCAGGACATCCGCTGCGGTGGCCGTCTCATCGAACGGCTCCTCGCTGGGCTGCTCCAGGTCGCAGCGCTTGTAGCCGCAATACGGGCAGGCGGCAAACTTGGGCAGCCACGTGATGTTGGCATGGCACACGGAGCACAGCAGCGGGGGCGTGTACTTGGCGGTGGTCAGCTCCGGTGCCCTGATGATGGGACAGGCGCCCAGGGCGCGCCTGCGCACTTCCTGCAGCTCCTCCAGCTGTTGGGGCGAAAGAGGGGCATCGAATTCTGGTTTGTCCTTTTCGATGTTTCGATCCTGGTACAGCGAGCTGTCGCTGGAATCGTATGAGCTGCTGCTGTCGCTGCTTGCATCATATCGAACGCACTGGCATTGCCTGGACCGTTCATGCCCCGACGGTGGAGTGGGCACACGCTCCCTGTCTATTTGCAGATCCACCAGCAGCTTCTTCAGCATTTTACGTTCACGTTCCTTGGTTGGATCCATTGCTGGCGGTGTCTTCGCACCGCGCACCCCACAGCTACATTCCTTGCCAGCCGGCGGGTTTTCGTTATGCGTGCAGTTAAAGGGTGCCCCGGCCTGCGACATAAGGCGCTCGTCTGTGATACAGGTGGTGCCCGCGCACTTCCGGGAACGACCCAGCGTGAATATTATGTCACGCGGGTTCACTGACTTGTCCTGAGGCCGGCAGACATCATAGCAGCCAAAGGGAAGCAGGCGGGCGCTGAGGGGAAACAGAACAGAGAAATGATATGGATATTTCCCCTGTCGCTCGGCAATCGCTACTCACTCAAGATCCGGATCGACGGAGCTGATGTTGATTTTCAGGTGAAGGTGACCCATGCGCCTTTTGCCCTTTTCCAAGGTGATGTTCAGGCTCTCAGTGCAGGAGAAGGTGGGATCCGCCAGCATGCGCAGCAGTCCAGTCGAAGGTCTGCAGGTGCCGCAGCCGAACAAATTGCCATTTTCGTAAACGGTTACGCAGATGCCCTTGGAGCTCAGGGAGCCAACCAAATCGCAGGGACTAGCCACAAAGGTGCTAATCGGATTATTTGGAAAATATTCGGTTACCACTCGATCTGGGGACAGCTCCAAGAACTCATTGTATAGACGCACTCTATAGTTATACGGACTCTCCTCCCCCTCGACAACGGGTAGACTTGATTGCAGCACAATAATATTGAACGCATAGCATTGCTTAAGGTTATCCATAATGAAGCATTTGATTTATATGATTCCACAACTGGATGTTCGGCTAATGGTAATTTATATGAAATTTGCCAATAATTATATATAATTTGTAAAAATATATATTTAAAAAAATAATTTTTTTTCATTCATATAAAATTTGCTGCTTGGAAAAACTGATCTACTATAATTGACTTGAAATGAAATGAATAAACATAAATAAAAAGCATGCTAAGTTCAGAATCGGAAAAAAATATATTCGAAAAAATTGTATATCCGTGAACTAGATGTCGACATAAACATAGTTTCTCTCGGCTCCTGCAAAGAGCTTGAGGGATTTTAAGATCTGTTAAAGATCATAATTGTTATTAAACATCTTTGTATGAATCTACAGAGTATTCAGATAACAATACACCAAGAATATAGCTAACCATTAATTTATGGCTTTGCTGGCCTTTTAATCTTCCGCCGTATTATTTATTGCCAAGATAAGTAAACTCTCCACGTGATTTGACAGCTATTTGAAATTTATTTGGAATGCAAAACCTTGCATAAATCTGTAGTTAAAATCTTCGGTGCATTTTGTGAACAAGGAATTTGGATTTAAACATTCGATCACTACTATCCGTCCGCATTACGGTGCGGGCTTTGTTAATGTCTACGAAATCTCTTCAGAGAGGACCCACCAGTACCTGATCGAAGGTACTTGGCATTGGCAGCAGTTTGAGAGCCGCTGCCGCATTTCCTCTCAGCCACTGCCAATCGAAGGCGTAGTATGTGAGGTTCCTCCTGCTGATAGTTCAGCCGGTAGACGTGATGCTGCTGGGCAGCTGGCCAGTCAGCCGATCATCCGCAACGTTGTTGCCCCGGTCTGCACTTAGCTTGTCTCGAGTAGTTGGCCTGCCTCGAGCCGTTGAACTGTCTGGACAGCGCATGGGTCGGCGGCGGTGTGGGCACCAACATCTTGTCGTACTCCAGCTCGATGAGCAGCCGATTGAGCAATTCACGTTCGCACTCCTTGCTTCGATCCAGTGCCTTGGGCACCACCGTATCCGTGCCATGCAGCACGCAGCCACAGCCGGCAGTCGAGTTGACCTCCTTGCGTACGCAGCTGAAAGGAGCCTCGCCAAACGACATTAGACGCTTGTCCGTGATGCACGCGACTGAGGCGGTACGTTTGGAGCGGCCCAGCGTGAATATTATGTCACGCGGATTGATGGACGTATCCAGCGTTCGGCATATATCAAAACAGCCAAACGGAATCATCCGTGAGCTAAATAAACAGCAATATAGGGATACATATAGATAAAGAGTGGCTTAGCATCGGCTACTCACTCCAGTTGGGGATCGGCAGCGCTAAACTTGATATTGAAATCAACGCGCGCCACTCGCACCCCCTCCTGCTCCGCATCGACGACGTAAGCCCCGGTGGCCGTAAATGTTGGCTCAGTCAGTGGGCGCAGAATATCATCGATTGGCCTAAAGGAGCCGCAACCCAGCAGTTGCCCATTCTCGTAGATAGCCAGGCGGATGCCCTTGGAAGTCAGGGACTCAGCCAATTCGTATGGGTTGGCCACGAATTCGCCTAGAGCCTCGGCGGGGAATTCTTTGCCATAGATACGATCATCTGTCACTTTTAAGTATTGTTTATATGGACAAACCATATAAGTGTAAGGACATGGCTCCCCTGGCTTGTGTTTGAGCGTTGATTTCTCCAAAATAGCGTCGAAATAGTATAATTGCTTAATTTGCTGTTCCATTGTAATGCTTATCCGTTAAATTGTTTCGCGTCTTACTACTGGATTGGGTTTTCGACTAACGTAAATTTATATATAATTTGGTAATCTGATGTGTAAATTTTAATAATATATAAAATTTTTTTGATTAGAAAACCCAATCTTTTTAACGATGAGGAATAGAAACAGATCGAAGACTAAGACTACATGATGTCAATTTTGACCTAAACTGCCTACTGAGCTACATTAGAGAGTTGGCAATAGGTCGAATAGGAAAATGTAAGATGATATTGATAATGATGTAATATCTGTTTTTCTTTTTCGACAGTCAAGTGTGCATAAAATACAAATACTAGTATTATATATATATATAGAATGTGACATATCATATAATCGAATTGAGACAAACGAATATAGCTCAGCCGACTGCAGTTCTTTATGTGGTCTAAAATAAATATTTTGCTATGGGGCCACAGGTAGTTTCTCTATATATACATTCATCAAAGTCCAAAGCACAGTAATTAAAACTTATCTGTAGACTATTCAGGGTCTGTATCTGTATAGGTCTAAAGTATGCCTCACCTGCACTTATCTACACATATGTGTGAATTTTGAAACAGATTATTGTATATATATATATATTTTTAACATTTATTTTGAGGTCTTAGCGTCCAAATTTTAAAATATATAATGAGTGTAATTCAAATAATCCTCTGATAGCAACTCGAAGTGTGTTGTGGATGCCAAAATATGAATAAGTTATGAGGAATATCTTTTGAGAACAAGGAATTTTGAATTACATTCGATTACTACAATCCAGCGCCATCTTAACTGCGTTTCTCTAAGCGATCAACAACATTTTGCGTAATGCGATATATGTATGTCCTATATGGTTAACAGATTTCTTGTGCGGGCAGTTGGCGAGCTGCTGCAAATGCGGCGTAAGATGCATTTACTTGCGGGCATTCACAATGTCCACGAACTCTGGCTTGAGGGAGGCGCCGCCAACGAGGAAACCATCGATGTCGGGCTTCTTGGCCAGCTCCTTGGCATTGGCGGCCGTCACAGAGCCGCCGTACTGAATGCGCAGAGTGTTGGACACCTCCTTCGAGATGTTCTCTGTCAGCCACTGTCTCAGGAAGGCGTGCACCTCTTGGGCCTGTAAGGTGAAAATATGAGAGTATGAAAGTGGGAGCCTGATCATAGGGGAGCAATTCGCAGCCTTGAACTTACCTGATCGGGCGTAGCTGTCTTGCCGGTTCCAATGGCCCAAACGGGCTCGTAGGCAACGACTACGTTGGTCCAGTCCCTGATCTTCTTGGCATAGGCGCACATCTGGCGTGCGACCACTTCGTTGGTCCTGCCAGCCTCACGCTCTTCCAGGGTCTCGCCAATGCAGGCAATCACCTTCAGGCCCTCGGCCAGGGCGTGCTCGGCCTTCTCGGCAATCAGCTCGTCCGACTCCTTGAAGATGGCGCGACGCTCCGAGTGACCCAAGATAACCCAATCAGCGCCGACATCCTTCAGCATAGCCGGCGAAATCTCACCAGTGAAGGCGCCCTTGGCCACCTTGTAGGCATTCTGGCCGGCCACGCCGATGCTGCAGGGCAGCAGATTGCGGGCGAACATCAGATAGATGGCCGGGCAACCAATGACCACATCGGTGTTGGGATCGAGCTGGGCATCGGAGAGTACTTTGCAGATTTCGGCAATCGACTTCTGGTCGCCGTTCATCTTCCAGTTGCCACCCACGCAGAATTTACGGCCACTCATGTTGCTGACGGTGTCTTTGGAGAAGTTCGCGTAGAGCTGCACGCCGGAAAGTAAGAGATATCAAACATTAAAATATTGGATAAGAGAAATTTTGAGTGTTAGGTAGTAAATGCTAAAATTTTGATTAATAAATCGCCGGGAAAAGTTCACTTTTACTTTTATTCGTATTTAAACGGACGACAGAGACCCACCTCGAATGTAATCAAATGATGTACTAACTAACCTTCTTCTGACCTTCATATGTCTTCCATTGGCACTTGAAAAGCTTTGGAAAAACAGCTGTGAATTTGCCCAGAAGAGCTTGCGAGACGACGCTCTTAAGTGCGTCCAGCGTTAAATTGGTCGCCGAATGGTTCATGTCCATGATGGATGGGTTCGAAAAGAATATACCCCTGGACGCGCAATGAGAATCTACTGTTTTGCTTTGAATAAACTGCTTGGGCTGGAGGCGGTATAATCCGTTATTGTAAATCAAAAACATGATTTGAATGAAAAGTTTTCAGATCGAATGATAAATTTAAGTATTCTAAAGTATGAAGAACAGATTGAGCTACGCTTGCTCAGGGCTACTCTTATATAAGTAGAAGACGGTTTAGCAGTGACATAAACCTGCTGATTGGAGTCAGTCAGCTGCTACAGGTAAAATATCTAATTAGCTTATGGGAATGAAAAAAATAAAAAGAAAGCATTGCACATATGCTTAAATCTTTGACTAAGTATGTATATTCAAATAATTGATTTTTGCGGATCTTATGTATATTGAAATGCTTTAGCTTAGCCGAGACACAATGCCAACGGCAGGGTGTAAAGCTCTTGGCAAGCTTATTGGACTGCAACAGCTGTTGCAGGTAACAATTCCAAGTTTTCCAGGCCGAAACGTCTTAAAAAATGCCAAAAAATAAAAGTCTAGGCACGAGCTTTTAATTTCATATCTTGGTATTTTCCAACTTTTATTTGATCTTCAACAATACATTGAATATACACATAAATATATATGTATGTACATTTATATATATTTATATACATATTGATTTTCACAGACGTTCCAAGTATACTTAGTTAAACACACATGCATATATATGTATATATGTATATATAGGATACATTGTTTTAGATAACATCAATAGATTTCTAAGCAGTTTAATACTTATACATATGTATGTATGTATATCTATGTATGCATGTAGAAAAAATACGAGTATGTCAAAAATGGGGATTTACTTATAAATTGACTTTAAGCTAGTTCCAAACAATTAACTAATTAAACAAAGGAAATAAACATAATTACATGGAAAAATAAATGCTCATGATTCACGAAACAGAACTGAAACTGTAGGAACATCAAGAGCTGGAAATGTTTTCGTTTTCGTTTCCGTTTCCGTTTCTATTCCGTTTCCGGCTTTTCCAAGCATTGATCTATGATGGAGTCGTTTGAAACTCGAAAACTAGGTACTTATGCTAAAAGCTTTTGTCTTGCGAGTATTTGCCTAGTCTTTGTCTGCCTCGTGAGGAGCATTGACCGTAGGTCAACTCTCAACGCTGGCAGCGACTAGAGACGAGGACGAAGAGGCCGACGTGGAAGTCAATGGCCCAACGGTCAGTCGTGAATTGGACATGGATGGAGGAGCAGTGGGTCCAGCTCCAGTGCCTTCCCCTGATGCTTTTCCTGTCCCCGTGCCCGGTCCTGTTCCAGTCCCTGTCCCCGTCCCCGTCTCTGAGCCTGGTCCTGGAGCAGTGTTTAGCGCCGTTGGGGCTGTGGCCGCCGTTTCGTGCGGCTGGAAGAGATTAAAAATATTGGAATGCTGCATAAAGCTGCCAACTGACTTGAGCGGACTGAAGAAGTGCTCGTGACTCGTTTGAGCTGGCGGCGACTCCTCCGACTGCCTGGAGCTGAGACTATGGTTAGGCTGGCCGGCTGTTGAGTTGGCTGCTTCGCCAGGACTCGCCTGCTTATGTTCGTTGGCGCAGGTGCAGGAGCGACTCTTCTTGCGCGAGTTGCGCGTCAGTGCCGTGGACTTGCGATACTTCGGCTTGTGGCCAGGCGACAGGGGATTCGTGGCGCCATCGATGACATAGATGCCGGCGCTGTTGGCACCTGTGCTGGGCAGGGGCAGGCAGTGATCGCTGTTCGAGTTGCCGGCGAGCAGCTTGGCGCGCAGTTGCTGCGGCAGTGTTCCGTTGCTGGGGGAGGTGCGCGTGGAGCAGGGTCTGACCCGTTCCAGCGTGGACGGCAGCTCCTGGTCACCGCTGCTGGCATCCTGCAGTGCAGCCTGCTGGCTGTAGTAGTCGGTGTCATCGCTGCGCAGCTTCTCGCGCATGACACAGGCCAACGAGCGACGCAGCTCGACTGGATCGACGCCCTGGTAGTTGTGGTTGCCGCTTGGCGGCACAAACACATCCTCATACTCGTCCAGGTCGTCGGGCAGACTAATGCCGTCCTCAGGTCCCGTCGAGTAGTTCTGGTTGTCGTACGAGAACGCGCTGTCGCAGCGCTGCTGCTGCGACGCTGACTGCACAGCTGGCTGCGCAGTCGCCGGCACTGAAATTGAAGCGCTGCTCTCATGATCGCTCTCCCGCTTGGCGCTGGGAAACTCATAGCTAATCTCGCCCAGCTCCGCACCGCTAGATGCCTCCACAATGTTCCACATGTCGCGCTCAATGTCCGTGGAGGCGGTCACGGCGGCGGCCACCGTCTGGTTGATGCTGTTCACGCAGGGCGTGAGGACGCCGCACTTGGGCAGCAGCTGGGAGTTCTTGAGCGCCTCCTGCTGCTGGCGCAGCCAAATAGGGGAGTCTGTGAATCGGGAGAGAGGATCATTAGCCCGCCATTCGCTAAGCATTAAAGTAGACGACGCGCACTCACACTCACCCACATACATGCGCGGCTGCGTGGTGCGCATGGTGGAGTCCATGGACTGCAGACGGTGCTGGCTGGCCAGCGAGAAGCGATGTATCGCCTCCGCCTGCTGATCGATGTCCACGCCCATCAGCTTCAGCATGAGGTTCTTCAGCGCCAGTCGAAAGTCCTTCAGGTGGTAGGCATAGAGCACGGGATTGACCGCCGAGTTCAGATGCGAGAGTATGATGCAGAAGAGCGTCAGTTTGGGGTGCACATAGCAGTTGGGGCAGAAGGCCTTGATGCAGTTGATCGTGTACAACGGAATCCAGCAGATCATGAAGAACAGCACAATGATGGACAGATTCTGCGTCGCCTTCACGTCCCGCTTGCGTGCGGCGCCCAGAACGCGGAGCATGGTGCCCGTGTGGCCGCCGCGCCCCGTTGTGGTCACCTGCATCTGGGCGGTGGAGGAGCGTCGGCTCAGATCCGATGCGGGATTCATGGTCACTATCTGGCGCACCTGCGGCAATTAGCATTGAGCTGAAGCGCATTCCAGCATTACATAGACGAGGGGCTGCACTCACCTGCTTGATAATCACTCGATAGATGTGCGTGTAGAAGGCCAGCATGAGCAGGGCCGGCGTGATGATGGTGGCAAAGTACAGAAAGACCAGATAGTTGTAGTCCATAACCTCGACGAACAGGCAGGTCTGATCGTGGGGCACATCCGCGTGCCAGCCGAAGAGCGGCAGAAAGCCCACAATTGCGCCAGCCAACCAGCACACGGATATGATGACTGCAAAAGGGATGATGCACTGGATTAGCATACACAGCAGACACAGCCAGCGAGGCCGAAGCCCCACACAAGTCCTTGGCACTTTGACGTCATCGCACCAATCATGACTCAACTGTCGGCTCACTGAAAATGCTAATGAGAGCTACGACTATGCTGCATGGATGCCACTCATCACTCTGTCTACACTGGCTATTGTCTGGCTTTGCTGCAGTCGTTCCACTCCTAACAGTACATTGAACCAATTGCATTTGACCAAATGACGCACACGCCATCGAACCCAAAAAAAAGAAGAAAGAAATCAACTGTGTCGAGCTAACCAAATGCCGTGGATATGTAATTAAAAGCAATTAATTCTTTTCCCATTATGTCAATAGAAAACTTTTTGTTTTTCCTTTTTTCTCTGCCCTTCTTTTTCGTTCAGTCCAGAGCCAGAGCAGAGCTCTTTAATAGGTTCCAGCACCAGCAGCACCACCAAGTAAGATGTTGTGGCAAACAAATTCATAATTGCTTTTCTCCCAGCACTAGCTTTGTGACAAGTCATTTTAATTAAGCCACATGTCCTTCATATCCGTTTAAATCGATTTCTCATTAATTCTTCATGTCTCAATGCATGCTCCAGCCATGGCTCGAATTTGTCCATATTTCTCCATGGCTAATCGACTGTCGCTCGCCATCAGCCATGCAGCTAAACTTATGTTCATGTTCAATTGATTATTAATTTAACTATCATATGTTACACTACACTACTATACACTCCTACATATATTATACATAATCTCCCACTATCTCTCTGTCCCTCTCTCTCTCTCTCTCTCTCTCTCTCTCTCTCTCTCTTTACAGAGTTCCTGCTTGTCTCTCTAGGCTATACATGTAGTACTCTACTAATACTGTAGCTAATGAAATATGTTTCAACAAGTACCTAATGTAATCCCTAAATGCTTGTTTTCGTCCTCTGATTGGCTTATAATTCTCTTACACGTTTATCGCTACTTATAGAAGTATGTAAGCATAGCCTGGCAGTACTTGAAGACCATTCGAGTTCAATACTTTACGTACTTATTTTCTTGCCTACTCAGTACTTATCCTTGCATTTTTCTAGCTAAATGCAGTTTTATTTTTACTGAAATGTGGTAAGCGTATAACTTACCATACTATAGCGTACGCTAAGGATAGTGAAAGGATATAATTTAAATGTTTATCTTAGTCCATTACAAATGGGCAATAGGGTATAATGATTTTAATCACTTAACTTTGGTTTCTTTCTATAATAAGCTACAAGAACTATAATATATTTTGATATAGATATATTTTCCAAATAATTTTTTACTGTAATTTGATGCAATCTGTTACCAGAAATGCATATAATCCTCAAACAAACAAACACAAGCACTTCATTCATTTACCACTTTATTTACTGAAATATGTCGCTCAAGACTTTTCTTTGCTACTTTTGCTACCATTCGGTGTTTCGATTTTCCTTTTATATCATGTAAGTCTCAATTTCTACTCAAGCTGCTGTCAAGTTGGTTTCTACATCAATTCATCTCTTGTGCAATGAAATAAATAGCCTTGAATATCCTTAAAGCATTCCTGGCTGCATTGTTCTCATTTCATTTCTTTTGTTTTATGAAATTCCTGCCAGGCCACACAAAGCTGCAACTCAAACATGGCCGGGCTGTCAGGCAGAACAATGTGCAATATGTTGATTTGTTGGCCATTATCTATGGCATTGTTGCCACAGCAGATGCAACAGGAAAGTTTGACAATACAGAGATGCATTAGCCAGAGGCGTCTGCCCGCCTTTCACTTACCAATTGCCGTGCGGGTGCGCACATTGCGGGAGTAGGCCATCGGGTAGAGTATGGCCCAGTAGCGATCCACGGAGACGGCGACCAGGCAGAAGATGGATATGGTGCAGAGCACCACCAGCAGCGAGACGGTGAAGAGGCAGGCGTGCAGATTCTTGGGCAAGCCAATGGAGGCCAGTATGGCGAAGGGCACGCCCAGCGAGCCAACCAGGAAATCGGCCATGGCCAGCGAGACGATGTAGTAGTTGGTGCGGCGGCGCAGTTTCCGTTCGCGCCGGAAGACAATGATCACCATCAGGTTGCCAATGATGCTGATGATGGCCACGAGCACCTCGAACACGGTGTACGGCACATTCAGCTCGATGTCCGCCGATGTCTGCTCCGTCTGCTGAGTACTGGCGGCGGCATGGTATTGCGTAAAGGGCAGATTGATCAGATTCTGCGAGTGATTCGTTCTGAAAGCAAAGTCGGTGTACGAAAAGAACCGAAACTCGGACATGTTGGCAGAGGCGAATTGAGGCGTTCAATAAATTTGAATTAATTTTCGATTTCAATATTTTCCCCTTTTGTTGTTGTTGCTGTTGTAGTAATAATGGCAATTGCAGACAGTTTCAATTATGTTGTGCCTTGGAGCGTGCATAGCCTAATTGACGCGAATTGTTCAGTAAGTAAACTGAAATAGCATATGTTGTTGCATTTGTTGCAGTTGCATGTTGCGCATACGCCATGTCTGCCATGTCTGTATGTGTGTGTATGTGTGCCACAAGTTATCCTTCCCTTGTGGCTGCTGCGGCTGCTCTTGCTGCTCCTGCAGCTGTTACTACTCCTGCTCCCTTGTGACTCCTCACACACGAGCCTTTCTATGTAGCTGCGGAGAACAAGAGAGCAAAATTAATCATCGTTCGGCACGTTTACACACATGTAAACACATTTGCACACCCACACACACACACACGCATATATATACGTGAGTAATTGTAGCAATTTTTTAGTACAATAAATTGATAAATATTTGCCAAAAATACGTTCCATGTTCAGCTCGAAGTCGATAAGACTGCAGCGCCAGCAACTAACTAGAAGCAGTAAATGTGCACGACTAAAGCATACCCTGTGTACCTACTCTTCTTTAATTGCTCTCACTTGCTCTCTCACTCTAAGGACCTTACCGGGAAATGCGTCATCAAAAACATTCAAAACTAAAGAGAGTTCAGCACGAACCCCATTCCAGAATTCTCCAGAGTTAAATTATCAACCTTACCACTTTGCTTAAATTGTAAAAATATTATACTTTCTCTACCTGCATAGTTATTACACCAGAGTTATGAGCTCTATACGAAAGAGATATTATTTATTGAAATGAAATATTCCAAGCTAAACAAAACTTAAAAATAAAAAAATTGCAAAAAAAAAAAAAAAAAATTTGTTCAAATACTAAATGTGTGTAAATCGATAAATATCGATAATGAGCTTTGTCTAGTTAAGTAATATTTTTACTTTTGCTATGCCCTTCACTTTCACTCATATCAGTAAGTACAGGGTATCACTAAAATACAAAAAGATATAGTACAACAATTAAGCTGTTGCTGCTATCTTTACCGTTATTGTTGTGTGTGCTCGGTATCTGGTTTCTGTATCTATTTCGCGTGCGGCTTGTTTACCGCAGCTCGTGCCAAACAAATGGCCGGGTGTGTGGCAAGCGTTTAAGCTTTAAGCATGGCCAGCTTGCAGCCTGCAGCTTGCAACTTGCCACCAGACACTTGCCACTTGCCACTTGCCACTTGCCACTTTGCCACTTTTCCAACTGCTGCGGCATCAATCAAGCTATGACAACGATGAGAACATTTTCCATTTAATTGGCTGCTCCTTGCGCCGCGCACGTGTGCCAGTTGCAGCTAAGTGCAAACTGTGGTAGCTCCGACTCGCAGCACCGACTCGCCGCTTTGACTCGCAACGGCGACGCACTTCATCATCGCGCCGCAGCGACACTTTAAGTGTCTGCCTCGGGCATACGTTGAGCGAGCGGCTTGTCAAATTAACGCGACTCTTTGGGTCGTCGGACATGTTCTCATAAAGGCGACGCGCGCTCAGTCACTCAGTCAGTTAGTCATTCAGTCAGCCAGCCAGCTCACTCGTATTTGTTTTTGCAGGGTTCTTGGGCAAATCGTGACGCGTCCTGCAGGCCAGCTCCCACTGGGCCGCTTGATTGCGTGCTGTTGGCCAACATTTTGCGTAAGTCGACGTTTTGCGTAATTGGCTTTCGGCTAATTAATTCAAATCGAATGGGCGGCCACGCGGGAATACGGCCGTGCGTATTGGCGGGGTGCATATTGACTGGTCGATTTAGCTCAATTGTAAAGTGGCTTTTGGAGTATTTGCACTCGTACGACTCCCACTCCGTGCACAATCAGCAAATGGACTTAATTCTTGAGTTTCGGCTTTCGGGTGTCTGGGTATTGATTTAATTATAATTTGGCTAATACAATTAGCGCCGTGTGGCGCTATCGACTCGACTTTAATAAATTGCGTGCGAGAAATTTCAAAGTGTTTGTGCAGCCATGATTTGTTTGAAGTCACTTGATATGCCTGGGCCAGCGCACTGAATGACAAGCATAATTAAAATCGTCGTCTAGGACACGAGAGAAAGAGAGCGTGAGAGTGGTAGAGAGAGGGAGAGGGAGATAGCCACATGGCTGCATAGCCACATGTGATTGCCATACGTGAGCGGCAAATCAATTTCTTGTCCCAGCGGACATTGGGCTGGGCCATCTCAAGGCAGCTGCTGCTGCCGTTGCCTCGTGTATCTATTATGGTTGCATGTGGCACACAGTGCGTATGTGTAATGCGCATAAATCATACGCCCCCATGCACCAGGCCAGGCCACTAGCAACAGCTTCAGCAGACTCTGCGAAAGTTTTTAAGGCAAACGACAATGTCACGCCTTCACTAGAACAACCCGGACAGGGTTAAGCGCAGGGGTTCTGTGTCCCTCAGCTTCAGTTGACTATTTAATTTCCAGTGTAAACGCTGTCAGAATCAGCTGCAAATGATGCTCAAGGACGCTCGAGTGACTCTGTCTGACCCCGTCTTGTTACTTTTTGGCAAATATTACAGCCAGCTGACTGCATTTATCTAAATGGGTTACGCTTGAGTTCCCACCTCGGCACTCGGCCGCCCGCGCTCTCCAGATCCACGATCCACTGACCCCCACTGCAGCGCTTCGGATGAATCACTGCCAGCAGCACGCGATAGTGAGTGCCCCTTCTTAGTAAATAAAGTTGTCGCGCCTATTTCTGTTCGTGATTCAGTTGCAGTGATAAGGCCTCAAAAGGTTGCAGCAGTAGATTTTCATAAGCATATATAAATGCATATGCATAATTCCATTCACAATGATAAATGCATTTCAAAGTAATCAACATGCTAATTTAGCCTGAAAAACGTTCAGTTTCTTGTTATTCTTCTGCTAACCATTTACATTTATCACCTGCTCTGTCAACTCGACAATTAGTTGGTCATTTATCTTAGTTGCCTTAGCTACAACTGCTTGGTGGGAGGCGCGTAAGGAATACGGAAGAAAAAGATGCTCGTTAGAGCAAAGTAAGGATACCGAATAGAGTGTTGAGTAGAGTGAAAAGTGCGGAACTTTTGACTATGTGGTGAAATGGAGACTATAGCTTAGAGTGGAATGTATAGAAAAACGAAGTAAAAATGGCATAGTTGAGGAAGTATGTAGACTTGAAAAATGGACAAAGTGTAGAATAGAGATGGATACAAAATGTAGAATTGAAGAGTTAGTGTAGCGTAGTTCGAAGAGTAGTTAGTAGGCAAAGTGGAAAGTTTGCGGTAGATAAAGTGCAGACAACGAAAAAGAACACGAAGAATGTAGGATAAATTTGAAGTAGAGTGAATCTTATAGCGGAGGATGGTAGACTGTATAGAGATAAGCCCAGAAAATTTAGCAAAGTAATTAGGGGGTGTATATTGGAGGGTAGAGAACAGAAAAGCTTGTAGGATGGGTGGAGTCTAAAAATTTACCAATTAGATTATGTCGAATGGAGACTTACGGTAAATATAGAATAAGGCTATCCCAGAATATAGAAAATGAAGATAAGTGTGTAAAGATGTCTTTAGAAAACATTGAAGGCTGTAGTTTACTTTGAAGATTTGAAGAAAGAAAGTCAACATCCTCATAGATGTTGAGTATCCCATTACTGGAGTAAAGGTCCAGCGAATTTCGGAGTAAAAGGATATGCTCTAGAGTAAAAAGAAGGAATAGTGTGATCAGAGTTTAAAGTCTAAAGTCGAGTCTACAAAAGTGTAGAGATGAAGATCAACTCGACTTTGATTGCATAGTAGACCATGTGGGCTTAATTCGAAGGAAGAGTGTATCATTAAATAGAGTACGTAACTTTATATGATCATATATATAAACTAGAGTGTAAAGAATATTTCACAAAATATTGGAAAGTGAAACGTAAATAATCCTGGCAACTACAGTGTAGAGTATCTAGAAGGCAATTTCAAGGTACCACTAACCAAGATTTATGTGAGAATCACATCATGAAATGTTCAATATATCTAGGAATCTGATTAATAGTAAGTTTATCGACTAAGACTAGATTGAAGTGTCTAGTTTATTGCTTAGTCCAGCTGGGTATAAGGAAGTCGGTCGCATCGTTATCAGTGTGTTTCGTTGCTTTGTGCCCAGTCATTCGACGGCGTCATTTATTACCGTTTAATTACAAGAAAATGACGCAAAGGAAAGCAGAAGTGAAATTCGAGCTCTGCTGTTGCACATTTTCTCCTTCGCAAGGACTTGACCTATGCGTTGCCAAGAGAAATGGCAAATTGGAAGGGCAGTCAAATGGTTTTCTTAGCCGCCGTTGAGTGAGAGTTTACATTTATCTTTGGTTACATTTCTCTTTGGTCAATCGAAAGACTTTTAAAAATGTATTTAGCTGCTGTTCATTTGATTCCAAATCAATTGATAAACGAAAGTTCTCGTCGTTTAACAGATATAGATGTAGTCTGATATGTTGTCTGCTACATGGCGGCATATATAATGTTTACCCATGGTGACTGGCATATTCGATATGTATTTATAAGCTGTGACGCTTTAGGTGCATTCTTATGCACACATTTATTACTATCATAAATGGCATGGCTGTTGTAATGCAAGCATATGTATTTATACACTGTTTCAATAATCTATAAAAAGCTCAAATAATCACACGGCAAAGACAAATGCGCAAACTAGTAACGAAATACCAAATAGTATGATGTATGTGGGTTTTTAGTTTGCATATGGCTGTGCTAAGGGTAGTTAAGCCTTGGCATGTAATATGAAATGCATAGAAAAGGAGATACAAAATTTGACTACGTATAAAATATACAGGCTCGAGTCTAAGCATTTTGTTTAATATACATAATCATATAAAAATATATAAAATTTCCGCTTTAAGTCAAAGCTTTTGTTTATCAATTGTTAAATCCTTGCCATTCGAATTGAATTTCTCAACAGCGCAGTTTGATAAAGTCAAATAAACCAAAGCTCTTGATATATGTATTGTAAGATGAGTGCGAAATTTGATTCGCGAGTAAATAAAATTTCTTCACTCGGCAAATTTAAGACTAGATAATAAAATATTAACAACTTTTTGGCTTCTGGCACAGAAGCAATATTTTGTTGGTTTATGACTCGCAAGTGTATAAAGTATTTGGCTGTCGAAAGTATGTATATGGGTGTGCTGTTATCGCTGAATCAGAGCTGCATTCGGTGTTTTATCAATGTCGGAAGTACGCACTTGCGAGGCGCCCCTCTGTGGCATGTGTGCAGCACGTGTGGCCATGCAATTGCAACGGCAGTTGCAA